TCTCCATACTACAGAAATTTCCTCTCAGCACGCTCTGGTTCCACGGATACACTCCATTTACAGACCAATCCATTGACCTCTGCCACATCTCATACATCAAAGATACAACACCTTTGACTCTCCAGGCCATTGTCGTCATAGTCAGTTCTATTTCTGTCTTCACTGAGTCTTGGAGATTTGAGACACATTGTTTACTACAACTTAGTTTTCCCTCACTGGCAATTCTGATTCTCAACCCTAGCTACTGTATATTACCCATATAAAGCTTCTTCCCAACCCACAGCCCTCAGGGACCCTGGAACCTCTGACCTGGGACTGTTCTCACTCGTCTCACTCCAGCCATATGGAACTACTTATGTTCTCCAAATAAGTCATGTTCTCTCTAACCTCAGTATCTTCATATATACTGTTCTTTTCTTAGAATGATTCTCCTACTTCTCATCTGGCTAATTCTTCTTCAAGACTCAGATACAGTATCCTATCTCTAGAAGGTCCACATGGACCACTCTTTGGAATGACAGGCCCCTTCTTGAGGCTTCCATAGTGCACTTTGCATACTTTGATCATGCACTTGCTACATCCTACTGACATTGTTTGCTTATTTATCTGTGAGCCCCACAGACTACAGGGTAAGGTGAGACATCTCTAAGTCCCTGGTACCTAAATGAGTGATTTTGCATATCAGGATTTCAGTAATTTTTTTTTTTTTTTTTGGATTTGAAGTTTTGCTCTCGTTACTCAGGGTGGAGTGCAGTGGTACGATCTTGGCTCACTGCAACCTCCCCCTCCTGGGTTCAAGTGATTCTCCTGCTTCAGCTCCTGAGTAGCTGCGATTACAGGCACCTGCCACCATGCCCAGCTAATGTTTGTATTTTTAGTAGAGATTGGGTTTCACCATATTGGCCAGGCTGGTCTCGAACTCCTGACCTCAGGTGATCCACTGCCTCATCCTCCCAAAGTGTTGGGATTACAGGCGTGATCCACTGCACTTGGCCACTATTTGTTGAATAAATAAAAAAGTAGAACTATATTTCACTTCCAACAAATTTAATCATCTTAAAACTTGTAAAGGAAGATATTAAGAAATAAAGCTGAAGGACATCTGGTTCCACAAACATGGCAGACTGAGCTAATATGGAGCATCTCACACAAAAACACCTAGAAATGCTATAAAAATGAAACTCAAAAGATAGAATACAAGACTGAGTTTACAAAAAAGAAAGGAACCTTTCCTCCCACCCCCGGTGCCAGGAACAAAGAGGGAACTAAAAGCCAGAGCAGCAAGTATGTGAGCTTATAGTCCAGGAACTCTAGAGATGTGCTGGACCCTAAAATAATGGTTGGGTGCTTGAGTATTAATACAGAGACTGGACATGAGACTTGGAAAAATGTGAGGTGGGGATCAAGCCTTTGCAGAGCTGCAATTTCAGTGAAATTGGGACTCAAATAATTGCATCCACCAGTAGAGGAAGAAAGTAAGGAAGCTGGTCTCTATGTGGGGCTCCCATGAGAGATTAAAATTCCAAGCTTGTCCCTTATAAGGGATCTGAATTTATCTTATCAGTGTAATGCAGGGAATCCTAAACTGAAAACAACATCAAGATTGGTCTCAGGTTGCTGATACTCCTGGAGCAACAAGTCCAATTTCTCTAGAGGGACAGTTTCACCACCAAGGCCAAAAGGGACTAACAAAAAAAAACAAAAAACCACACAACTCTGAAGTTTTCTTTTTTTCTTTTCAAGTTTCAGTTAAAATAAAATTATAAGAAAACTATCTATAAGTGAGAAGCAATATAGATCACAATAGTCAGAAAAATTACCACCTCCAAATACATCAAGGACAATAATTAAAAAGACTACATAGATATGTTTAAAATAATTAAAGAAAGCAAGAAATTTGGGGGGAAAACATTACTATATGCATACAAATGTAGAGAAAATATAAAAGTATGCATGTAAATGTTCACGTCAACTTCAAAAAAATGACTACCTCTGTTAGAGAAGAAAGGAGAAGGAATTGGGGCATGGTTCATTATGTTTTGTTTTATAAAGGAGAGATCTGAAGGCAATATAGCAAAATATTATTACTAGTTTAAATTCAAGTGAGACTTCTAATCAGTTAACTTCTATACATTTTGAATATTTCTTTGATAAGAATCTGTAAAATTAAAGGTAGATCATAAGACAATTAGAATAAGGGCAAAGAAGAAGAGATTTCATAGTCATGGCTTTTAAATAATTTCAGAAAAGAGAGTCACAGTTAACACACAGACCTTGCACACGTCACTTAGTTCCTAAGCCTGTTTATCTTAGGTTCTTAGAATAAGTTATCACATTTGATCTCTAAATTTACCTCAGAAAGTCATTATCAGTCAAAGTAAAAAGGCTAACATATTGTGTCTTTTAGATCTCATTACTGGATAAAAACACACAAATTCAGCTGGAAAGAGTTTTTTTCTTGCCACTGAATTTTCATGAGTGTTGGGAGATATGCCTACGTGGATTTCTCTCATTCCTGTGCAGATTGGCCCTTCTGAGCAAAGGACATGTTTGAACAGCAAACAGCCTTACAAAGTAGAAAAAGTATATCCCTCTAGAGAGATCTAGAGAATGACCTCCCCGAACATGTCACAGGGCACTAAAGATAAAGCCCTCTCCTTTTTCCCTGAAACATGCACTTATATTCCAGGGTAATGAATAATTAATCTCAATCTCATTCTCTCACTCTGTCTTTCTATCTGTATAACTTTTTGGAGAGGAGTCTAGGGAGATGTGCCAGTGTCCCTATACAGAGCTCAGAGTCTCCTGATTTCAAGGTTCCTCTCTCCTGTGATGCAACGTACTGTGTGCACAGGTAACATCTGGCCCGCATCACACTGCGCTAAGGAATATAAGCATAGGGAACCAACATAAGCTACTGTTCTGGCTGATGCTTTTGCTGTGAATAATACACTATGTGTTCGTGACCCAAGGCTTGAGTGTGTATGCATGTGTGCACATACGCATATGTATGTGTACAGCTGTGGCAGGCTAATTTGTTAGCTTGCAGGTAGTGTAAGAGCTCAGATCCTTCACAGTTCTAATTTAGCAGAGAAGCAAAGAGGAAGACCCTAAACAGAATAATGACCAGTGTTTTAAAACATGGTTTCATATTACATACAGAAATATTCTTCAAAAGGCATTTCTTCTCCAACCCTCATAAAAACTATAGGTTTGACAATGCAAGGAAAGAAACATCAAAATAATAGGTTTAGAAAGATGTTTCAGTGGGGATTTAAGATAATATAGTTCATCTTTTTCTTTTTCTTTCTTTTTTTTTTTTTTTTTTTTTTTTTTTTTTTTTTTGAGATAGAGTCTTGCTCTGTTGCCCAAACTAGAGTGCAGTAGTGCAGTCTTAACTCACTGCAATCTCTGCCTCCTACGTTCAAGTGATTCTCCTGCCTCAGCCTCCTGAGTAGCTGAGACTACAGGTGCACCACCATGCTGGCTAATTTTGTATTTTTAGTAGAAATGGGGTTTCGCCATGCTGGCCGGGCTAGTCTCAAACTCCTGACCTCAAATGATCTACCCGGCTCGGCCTCCCAAAGAGCTGGAATTACAGACATGAGCCACAGCTGTGTTTCTTTTTAATGACCTAAAGATACAGGAATAAGGCTTGTAGTTCATAAAGAATCCAGTGGTTAGCAAACACAAACCATTTTTTACTTTCTCAGACATCAGAAATTATAAAAGATCCTTTTGTAAATGCTGCTTTCAGGCAATTTGTAGCTGAACTATATGATGCTTTCTAGAAATGGCAAAATCTTTGATTAAAGAGAGACTCCTACATGAAGGGTACTTGTTGATTTTAGCCAACCAGCATCCATTTTCTTACCATCTTAAAGCAACCCAGATTTTTGTTTGCGGATTCCCCCATTCCACACCACTCTCAATTCATGTGATCTGGACGGGGCTGCAACCCCAGCTCTAAGGATAAGCAAGTAATCAAATTCCAGGCCAATCTCGTGTCCTTGGTTTAGAGGTAAGCACTGAGAACATAAGCTGTGCTCTTGGAGTGAACCTGGAGACTTTGCCAGGGATAAGGGGTCAGAGGTTTTCTCTCTCTCTTTTTTTTTCTGCTGGAATTGAACCTAGCCAAGGAACAGCTGCAAATTATCTAGCAACTTCGAGGGGAAAGCCAGTCTAATAATGGCGTCAAGAGAGAAAGCAGAACCAAGAACCGAAGCAAAAGCGAGAAAGGATCTGGAAGGTCTCGTTTGAATACCAGCATCCAGCTATGTCGGGAATCTTAACAGCTCTGGATTGTTTACGGGAGCTAATTCATCTTCTTTTTTGGTTTAATTCAATTTGAGCCTCATTTTCTTCTCCTTCAACAAAGAGTTCAAATTAATTCATCCTGGAGTTTACTTGCCAGACTTGCAAAATTCTAAATCTTTTGTAGTGAAATTTAGGATGCTTTGTATAATGCCCACATTGAAAACGCAAAGTTTAGAAAACAAAAAATTGGTTCCAAAAAAGCTTTTTAAGAGTTGTTATCCTCAACAAAATATAAAAGAGCTTCAGTAAGACAATGTAGAAAATATAATTTGAGTTTATAGGTAAATATACTCAATATATTATGGCAAACAAGTTATCTTGGAAACGTAATAAAGTTATGAGGAAAAAATAAAATACAATTTTTAAGGCTAGTTGTAGGATTTCTGTTAGATTTAACATAATTTGCATGCATATATTTAAGTTGCACCATTTGAAATGGACAGTTTCATACAGTTCAATTAAACAGTAAGGTAGAAGAAAATCCACATTGCTTTTCCTTTCAAACTTATTTAAACCAAAGATTACACTATATTTTAAAAAGTCCCAACCATTCATTTCTCTTATCCGAGTATATTTGTTTTACAGATAGAAAATCAAGTTCACTACATTTTACTTTTCAAATTTTGCAAATTCAAAACAGTTTCTTTAAAAGGGGTCCTTGTGCATATGCAGTATTCCCTTACCTGCATGTTATACAGGGGTTGCCTTGGCGCATTAACTTCCCTCAGCAGACGAGCAGATATGTGCCTTAGCTCTAAAAGTCTGCATGCAAGCTGAGGATGCAGAAGTTTGGCCACTGATTTGGAGGATCTGGATATGCTGTTTAATCCTTGAATTAATGTTTCTCGATTAATCTTGGCTAAAGCAATAGCCATCCTGATTTTGGATGTTTTCTGCGCAGGTTCTCTTTTCTGAAAAATAGGCCTTTGAAAAGTAACTGATGTGTAATTCTCCAATGCATTATTAAAGCTACCTCTGGCAGAGACTGACTACTGCATAACTACATTGTGCATGGTATCCTGTGTATATTCTGTGTCCAATAATTCTATCCCCCCACGAAACCCCTTGAATTCCCTGCCATGTACTTAAATCTTTTTTTGTTTTGTTTTGGTAATGGAGTTTCATTCTTGTGGCCCAAGTTGGAGTGTAATGGCACAATCTCAGCTCACTGCAACCTCTGCCTCCCAGGTCCAAGCGATTCTTCTGCCTCAGCCTACCGAGTAACTGGGATTACAAGCAAGCACCACCACGCCTGGCTAATTTTTGTATTTTTAGTAAAGATGGGGTTTCACCATGCTGACCAGGCTGATCTCGAACTCCTGACCTCAGCCTCCCAAAGTGCTGGGATTACAGGTGTAAGCCGCCATGCCCAGCTCTTAAATCTTTATATATCTATATCTATATCTACATATAGATATAGATATATATAGATATATCTATCTCTATATAGATATATCTCTATATAGAGATATCTATCTATCTATCTATCTATCTCTCTCTCTATATATATATATTTTCCCTTGGGGTAGGTATAAAGAATTGAAGTAACCAGCTAAAAGATACGAATGTTTCATTTTCCTCCTAGATTTATATATTTTGTGCACTGAATTTTTACTTGTTTTTTTTTTTTTTAAATTCAATAGGTCTTTGGGGAACAGGTGGTGTTTGGCTACATGAATACATTCTTTTGTGGTAATTTCTTAGATTTTGCTGCACCCATCACCTGAGCAGTGTACACTGCACCCAATGCGCACTGAATTTTTAAAGAGCTCTTCCAATAGTAAACAAGGATTCTTCTTAACTGGTTTCTGCATTTGAGCTCTACTCTTTACATACATACATTCTTTTTCTTTTTTTATTTTCTTTTTGCTACAACCATGCCCATTTCTTTGTCAATGACAGTTACAATGCTGAACTTTAGTATTCTGTATCTATTAAACTAGCTTGTCAGAAATCTTACTAAATTCTTTCTCTACCTTGTCCCAGAGTTTGATCACTTCTCATCACCCCCAATACAGACTCAGTCTATTGTGTTTGAATTCTACCATCATCTCTTTTCCAGATCGGTGAATTCGCCTCCTAAGTGGTTTCTCTGCTTCCACCCTTGCCTGTTGCCATTCTGTTTATCAGTACACCAACCAGAGACACCTAATTAAAACTTGTGTCAGATCACATTTTCCTTCTACTCAGCTGTTTCAGTGGCTTCCAGTTACTCTCAATGTAAAAGCCCAAGGCCCTACAAAGGTAAAGAAAAGACCTCAGTCTTTTCTTCACCTGTTGAGCCTCATGTTTTTCTCTTCCCTTCCCTTCTCATTACTTGTTGAACTTTTCAGGTGTCTGGGATTTTGCATTAGCTCAGCCATTTGACTCCTCAAGCATCCCAAGGTTCACTCCCTCGCTTCCTTCACATCTGCATTCAAGAATCACTTCCTCACTAAGATCTTTTTTGATCACTCTACCCAAAGCATCAGTTGTGCTCCTTATCCCTGCACCTCTATTTTGCGTCCCTTCTCTGCTATATTTTTTCTTCTCTGTAAAACTTAGCACTAATATACCATATTGTTTATTTTCCTTGTTCATTGTTTTTTACTTGAGTGGGATATAATTTGTATGACAGCAGTGTTTTAAATCTATTTAGCTCCCTTCTTTTTTCCCAGTGCCTAAGCAGTGTCTAGCATGTAACAGGCAGTCTATCTTTGTCAGAATGAATGAATGAAGAGTATCAGAAAATACAACAAATTAATCTTGAGAAACATCAAAGAAATATTCCAAATATTACATTAGAAACCACTCAGAAAGTTTTTAGTACACAACTCTATAACTTTCACAATAATGATAATGCTCCACAAGGAACAACTCACCAAAAACAAAAATAGAATTGAAGTAGAGGGCATTCTAGTGACAGTCCTAGTTTCATTATGTTCAGAAACCTCAATGCCTTTACAGGTAAATTCCAGACATTAATGGTGCCTTCTTAGCAGTTTTTGTCACACATTAACAATAACCACCACCAACAACAAAAGCCTAGAGAATTCAGAAAAGTACATCTAAGTACGTAAAACTCCAGAATTTTTGGCATGGATTCTAATATGTCCTGTCTACAACTTCCTATTTTGTAGTATGCGGTTAAGTCCAAAATAACAGAAAAAAGATATAATCGTCTTTCATATTTAAAAATTCATAAAAATTGGCCCTATTTATTATAAAATATTTTTATCTTATTCCAAGAAAGAGCATCTGAAAGAAAAATTTTTAGAAACTCAATTGTAGTACAGATTTCTTTGTGAAATATAAAGGTTTACAATTTTAAATTTATCGTATGGAAATCTTTTGAAATTCGCAAGTGTAAACCTTTAAAAATTACTCTTTGCTAAGGAAGTAGATACTAAGGCTACTGGAATCTGGTCTGAAGGGATGTATAGAACTGGACCTCAGAAACCATCATCTCAAGACAAGATTCTAAAATTAACTTTCTGGCCAGGGACCATGGCTCATGTCTGTAATCCAGCACTTTGGGAGGCCAAGGCGAGTGGATCACTTGAGGTCAGGAGTTTGAGACCAGGCTGGCCAACATGGTAAAACTCTGTCTGTACTAAAAATACAAAAATTAGTCGGGCATGGTGGCAGGCACCTGTAGTCCCAGCTACTCGGGAGGCTGAGGCAGGAGAATCGCTTGAACACAGGAGGCAGAGGTTGCAGTGAGCGGAGACTGTGCCATTGCACTTCAGCCTCTGTGACAGAGCGAGACTCCGTCTCAAAATACATTAATTAATAAAATAAAATAAAATAAAATTTCCCAGCCTTAAAAAGAAAATTTCCTTCAAAATTTTTATCCAGGAAGAACAATTTAGTAATTATTATTCTGATTGTATTCCACGTATATTCCTCTACAAAAATTCATCATCACTCCCATCAAATCTTTTTTTGTTCTAGGCCAGCAAAATGGCCTTTTCCTAAATAAATACATGCATGGGGACAAGAAGATTTAAATCCTAATTACAAAATTTAGAGATTTAAGATACAACCCAATTAATAAAGCCCTCTAAGTACTTTTAAAACCATTACTTCCACTGTGTTTTTGGGAAGTATGGATCATCCTGGAAATTAAAAACTTTGCAGCACTTACAATCTAACCTTTTAAAAATAATCTGGCTAGCAATTGGATATTAATAATGTTTTCCACATAATTTATATTTGAAGAGCAAATAACTGCAAATACATGAAAATATCCCCTAACTGTTCAAGTTTCTTGCCAATCTCAGCAACACATTCTTCAAAGGAAATGGTGGGAAAAGAGCAATGTCAAGTGTTTTGAAAATGAGAAATAAAGTAACTAATTAAGTTTATGTTCCTCTCTGAGTTGGGCAAAGTTCTATAAGTAAATGACTTCAATTAGTTGGAAATAGGAACTCAGAGCTTTATCTTTTGGGATCTCAATATCAACTGATGTCATCAATTGATGACATGCTTATGGTTCTAGTGATAATGAAGCTATTTGGAAAATAGAAATGAATGAATGAAGTTGCCATTTATTTGATTAATTCAAACCCCAGTTTCTCTCATTTCAGCAGTGGTGGGAGACTCAAAACTTGAAAAAGATAATGAGATTTTCCATACCTGTCTCCGGCTTCCTAGGATTCACCCTGAGGCTTTCTCAATAATTTCTACTGTGATGGCCTGAGCTATTTGACCTTGACCAGACATGCACATCTCTTTCCTTCCTACTCCAAAGCATAGCCAAAAATTGCCTCCAATGCTTCAAAAGACTTTATACCAAGGCTAGGGGAATGCAAAGAGGGGGAGCAACTGGATGCCAAGTCTAAGACACAGTATTAGAAAACCCAGTTTGCCTTCAGAAACTCTTAAGCCTTATCTCTCCTGCTTAGCTGATCTGACCAGCATCTGCATGCCATCTTACCACTGTGCCGGCAGACTCCTACACTTCAGTGTCACTCCTCCTCAAATTTGACTAGACCCAAGAGAGGGCCAGCCAAAGGCACAAAGCAAGTTGCTTCCCCTGACAGCTGAAGGCCAGCCTTCTGCGTTCTCATGTCCTGTATCTAACGTGCCCGCCTCTTCCTGTGATGACTGACACTGGGAATGTCCACTTCCCCCAGGGCTATTGTCTTATAGGCTAAATCAGTATTGTCTTCTATTGTACCATCTGGAGTCCATTCTACAAGTCCCAGAACTCTACTATAGCTAAGGGAGTTCAGCAGGTCCTGACAGTTCAAACTCATCCGATTCAATGGTAAACAAGAATGCCTATCAGTTAATTTATTTTTAGAAATGTATGGGCTCAGTGATTTGAATCATCTGTGTGTATAACAATTACCTCCTATTCAGATCAAAGAACAGAAAATTATTTTTGCTAAACAAGTGTGTAAGTATACAACAAGCAACATTGGTGAATGAGGGGTTCCACATAAGTAAATTTTCTGGCTAACTAAAATTTTACCCACTTAGTGTTGGTTAAATTTTTACTGACATGAAAAGTAACTTTCAAAAATGTACCTCATACCTGACATCTTTGAGGATTCTGACTGCTGCTAATCCCTCTATCCTTTTTCTCTCCACTTCTGTGGCTTTCATAGAATTTCATTCTCTTCATTCTGCTCTTTCCTGATTCCCTGCTAACCCCTTTAAACAATGGCATTGTTGGGGGCTCTGTCCTAGGCCCTCATGTTACTACACAATCTTCTTGAGCAGTGATGATTGTCATTTAGGTTTAAATGTGTACTACAGTTAGTTAAACACATGATTTAACTATACACTATGACAACATACTATTCACTGATGACTCCCAAATATACATCCTCAGCCTGGGCTTCCCTTGTGCTTCCAACCTACATATGCAATTTGTAACTCAACTCCAAGGCTTGGGCAGGATGTAGCATGACCTCTTAAACTATGATCCAATCAAACATCATTATCTCCAAAGCTGGTCTTCCTCATCTTCTCTTGGGTCCTAGTTAATAGGATCACTATTCTTCTAGCTACCCATGAAATCCAGAATCTTCCTCAACCTCTACATATTCTCTCTCATCCCACATTGTCAGTTTCAAAATACGCTTAATATCTCTTGTGTTCAACTCATTCTTTCTATTCCCAGTGTTAATGTCCTTGTTCTTAGCTGTCATTTGCAGCAAAATATTCCTAGAAGCTCTGCCTCCATTCAGACTTCATTACCACCAAAGAAGTATTTTCAATGTGCAAACTGAATGTCATTTCCAAGACCAAAACCTTTCTGTGACTGACATCTGTGTTACATATACAGGAAAGTCCAGTGTTTTTCACATGGCATACAAAGACCTCCACATCATAACTCCTGGTTACATTTCCTATTTTCTACTATTTCCTGCCTCAACCCTTGTATCCTACAAGCCTTTAATTTACATTTATTTGACATTTTGGAAACATACTATGCTGTTTCCTACTTTTGGGCCTAACCTACGCTGCCAATGAAATATGCTTCCAGCCCCTACCCACTGTTCCCACCTTTTCTTTACCTTGAAAACTACTGTTCATCCTTTGGAACCTGACTTAAAAGCATCCTTCCTCCATGAGGCCTTCTCTGACATTCCTTAGTAGAGTCATTGACTCCTCAAAATTAGATATAAAGGTATAACAGTTACCTTATTCTAATGCAATTACTCATTTACAACTCTATCTCCATTTGATTAAGCTCATTGGCAGAAAGGATCTCATCTTATTTCTCTCTGTATGTCTTCTCTCCAGTCCCAAGCAATAGCGAGGTGTCTAGTAAATGTCTAATGGAGGGTTGTCTGCATGCATGGTTAAAGTAGCTCTATCACCTCTCCTTTGGAATGAAATGTGTATACTTTGTGATTACTGTGTTACTCAGAGTGCTTCTTGTTAACTTCCAGGTTTTGGCTATATACCTCATGTTTGACATTGCCAAGAGTCTGACTTCTGGATAAGAGGATTGTTACCGTACCATGTACCCTCACAGCATATTCTATTTGAACTGTGATCAAAATAACTGAACCACAATTTTCCATTAAGGGCTGTGAACCTTTGAGTAAATTAGGTTACGTGTGTTCCCTAAACAGATGTTACTTTTTCCTGACTTTATGTCTCTTCAAAATACATATCTCACTCCTGCTTCACTCCCAATATTTTATCTGTTTCAAATCCTTTTTGGAAGAGAAGTTTACAAAATATACATATACTTTGTTTAAATTGATGCTACTGTTTTCTTTCAGTATTAAAACACACATCCATGTTATATTTATCTTTCCACTGTTACAATTTATCTCAAGTTTTCCCACTGATTTAATTGACATAGATTTTTGCCTAAGAATATCTTAGGTATTTTTCTGATTTTACATTGTAATTGTAGCTATGAGAGATTGCCAGGTTTTTAACCTAATGACATAGTGATTGTCTTTAAACTTAACTCTTGATTTACCTCACTTCTTGGTCCACAATCTCTCTGCTTCCCATAGACCCCTCTTACTAAGTAATATTTGAAATTTGTTTTTCTGAGGCAAAATTAGTATTTTCTTAAGGTTGAGCACTGATCTCCAAATCAAGTATTAAATGATTGGTACAACACTAAAAATAGAATATAATTTTTGTATTCTTTTTGAAGGTTATAAAATCACCTTACCTGATTAGACTGTGATAATCTTAGGATGGTGGGAAATTCATCTTTAAACTCATCTACAAGGTCCATGATTACCTTCTGGATCCCCTCGACTAAGGCAAAAAAGAGGTTAGGAAAAAAAACAAAGAAAACCTTTGTAAACATCCCCTAAATGATTCAAAAGAACACGAAACACTGAATCAAATTCCTAGATGACTGGGAAAGTAAAGGAACTCTAGGGGCTCTTATTCCCAGCTGTTCCTACACCCATACCCCCTTTACAACAAGACTGTGTGTACTTCTTCCAGAAAAGTTCTTCAACGCCTGCCCACATATCCACCCAACAGGTTTGATTAGCATGGTGAGTTCTTGCTTGGGTTCCTAGCGCTGAACCAGCTTGCAGGCCTGGGCAATGCTTGTCCTAGTCTGCCGTTAGTGAAGGATGAGTGTAGCCTTCCACCTGGGAAAGCCAGCAAAGACAGAACTCACAGCTCACTGCTAGAATTCTTTGTTACTGCACAATAGGCTTCTGAGAACTTACTACAGAATCTTCTGAAACCACTCTGGCAGTGAGAGGAGGAAGAATGTGCTTGGAGCCAGGAGGGAAGGAGTGAGGGGACTGAATAATAAAGACACTGAGGAGTTCTTTGATATAAGTTGAAATTTGTCCCAAATTCTGCAGTGATACCACACATAATGGATCACCTGAGAACAAAGGTCCCTGTGGAAAAAAATTGGCATGTGCTTTAAAAGAAATGCTTTATATGTGATGCCAAATAGAAAAAAAACACCAGCAGTGAATTCAGAAAGACTTCTGAACAGATTGTTTTTGCTTCACCAATGAGGATCAGTAGGTCAAACTCATTATTGGAGGAAGAGAACTTTAATCTATATTAGATTAAAGTCTAACCAGTAGTCACTGTGCTAAGGGCTAAGTTAACATCATTTATCTTTTTAAATTCCCTTAACAACTCTGACATAGGAATGTTTTGAAAGCACTCTAAAAGTATCAGTATGAATATATCGGTATTATCAATATCAAACGTCAATCCTCAGTAATAGGTTTTTTGTTTGTTTGTTTGAGACAGAGTCTCACTCTATCACCCAGGCTGGAGTACAGTGGCGTGATCTTGGCTCACTGCAACCTCTGTCTCCTGGGTTCAAGTGATTCTCCTGCCTCAGCCTCTCAAGTAGCTGGAATTATCACGCCCAGCTAATTTTTGTATTTTTAGTAAAGGTGGGGTTTCACCATGTTGGCCAGGCTGGTCTTGAACTCCTGACCTCAGATGATCCACCTGCCTCAGCCGCCCAAAGTGCTGGGATTACAGGCCTGAGCCACCATGCCTGGCCAATAATAGTTTTTATAGTGATCATTAAAGCAGGGCTATTCTGAATAGTATAGACTGGAACTAATTCAAATACCCAACATTCATCAAATGATTGTTATCTCAAGACTATGGAAAAGTTTCTGTTCATTACGTTTGTAAAATGTAAAATTATGTAAAACAATATAGTTTATAAGCATCCAAGATTATGTGTATACAGATGAGACTTACAAAGTTATCTAGTAGTAAAAACAAACAAACAAACAAACAAAAAAACCCAAAAAGCTCCAAGTTAAAAAAAATTAAAACTAGGAAACATTATTTCCATAAGATTGTTCACTTATGTCTAATTAATTAAATACCAGGTTTATGCCGTGAATTGAAAGTATGATTGTGTACCACTTTGCTTAGAGACTAGTGAAAAGTTTTATATAAATCAGTGGAGTGTGCAGAAGTTGCAACATCTACTATTAAAGACTCAGGTCCTGATGTTGGAGAACTGAAGGAAAAACCTGATGAAATCTTACATGAATGAGACTACAGGACTCTCCTCAGGGGGTAACTCAGATTCAGTAAGGCATCGCACTCTGACAAATCCAATCTGGTACCAAGGCCTTAATAATCAGGGGAGAGGCATGACTCTGAGCACAGCCTGGTCCCTCAGCTCTATCCTTGAGCCCACATTCCACAGGATTTAGGAGTAGATGGGATGAAAAGATAAGCTTTATGTAGTCTTCCTAAACTTTCTAAGGCAGCAAGCACAAATTAGCTATACAACTAGGATATTCCTTCCACAGGAAATAAAACAAAAAAGGGAAAACAGGCATTCTCTAGGACTTTGCCAAAGATCTCTGGCAGTCAAAAACTTCATTGTAAGGGAAGAAAAGACCCAGTTAGAAGACATGCTTGCAGCCACAAAGCATATGAAAATGTGTTCAATATCACTAATAATTAGAGAAATGCAAATCAAAACCACAATAAGATACCAGATAAAGAAAATGTGGTATATACACACCATGGAATACTATGCAGCCATAAAAAAGAATAAGATCATGTTTTTTGCAGCAGCATGGATGCAGCTGAAGGCCATTATCCTAAGCAAAATAACTCAGGAACAGAAAACCAAATACTACATGTTCTCACTTATAAATGAGTGCTAAACAACGATAATACATAGACACAGACAACACAGGGAACAACAGAGACTGGGGCTTTCTTGAGAATGAAGGTCGGAAGGAGAAAGAGGATGAGAAAAAATATTGGGTACTATGCTTAATACCTGGGTAATGAAATAATCTGTACACCAAACTCCTGTGACATGGGTTTACCTAGATAACAAACCTACACATGAACCACTAAAATAAAAGTTTTTTAAAAAAGAAAACAAAAGAACAATGTAAAACACTCTAATGTTTAACAGAATTGGAAATATCGTGAACTCATGATTTTTAAGATTATATTTTTTCTAGATGTACAGGCAGAAATGGCCAGAATCATGGCCAAGCCAGTAGAAAAGAGCATCCTAGTATCTAAATTCTGGGCTTTAATACCATTTCTCAGTACAATGAAGCAGGACTCCTTCAAGAATTATGTGATACCAAGTCTGGGGCAGGAGAAGCATACAGTGAACCAGAGAAATCTTATGCTAGAAAGTTAGGATCATTTTGAAGATTAATGGGGTCCTTTTAAAGGGAAACTCAGGCCAGCTTGAAGTGGTTCCTACTGGTCTTAGTTGTGATGATATGGGCTTTGCAATGGAAAAAATTAGCCTGGTGTGGTGTCACACACTTGTAGTCCTAGCAACTCTGGAGGCTGAGGCGGGAGGAACACTTGAGCCCAGGAAGTCGTGGCTGCAGTGACCCACGCTCGCACCACTACACTCCAGCCTGGGAAAGAGAGCAAGAACTTGTCTCAAAAAAAAGGCAAATAAATAAGTACTAAATACATTTTAAGTATATATATATATATATATATATATATATATATATGTATATATAGTCCATATATATGGTATGTATATATGTATATATAAGTTCCAAATATTGTTATGATCTTTAGTTAGAAGTCTTAAATTTATCTTCTTAGACAGTAACCTCTGCAGAGCATGACTAAAAGTATAGATTTTGTATTTTAATCCCTTCAGCCATGGTCTTAGAGTGCATTACTTAATTACCTAGCTACTTAAGCAAATCTCCTTGGTCAAACCAACAATGTTCAAACATAATGAAAAAGAAAACTGGTCATTTTATGTAACTCTATGTAATTATAAAAAAGTGTCATATTCACTCAACAGTGCTAAAAATAAAAATGCTAAAGGATACATCCCACCCTTTCTTTTAACCCAATGCTGCCAGTGAGTTGATGATGATACCTCTTTAGGAGGGAGCCCGGACATGACATAATTCACTGTGTGAATTTATCTAAAATTTCCGTGAAACTAAATTTATTTTTAACCAATACCAACTATCTTAGGGATTTCTAAATTACTTTGTACAAAAATAATTCTTACATGTGAAGGATTGAAGAATGTGCCACTTCGACATAAGAATTATTTTGAACTGAAGTCAATTAAAAAGAAACAGACACAAGAACAGCTCTCTGCCCTCCCCTTTCTACCAGGGAGGGCAGGAGTTTGAGACCGGCTTGGCCAACATGGGAAACCCTATCTCTACTACAAATACAAAGATTATCTGGATGTGGTGGTGTGCACCTGTACTCCTAGCTACTTGGGAGGCTGAGACAGGAGAATCGCTTGAACCCCGGAGGTAGAGGTTGCAGTGAGCAGAGATCATGTCACTGCACTCCAGTGTGCGAGACAGAGTGAGACCCTGTCTCAAAAACAAACACGTTTACACTCTTATACATTGTTGAGAACCCCCAATAGCTTCTGTTTATGTGGGTTATATCTACTTAGAATTATCTTATTACAAACAAACACTGAGAAATATATGCAATCTTTGTTAATTCATATGATATGCAGTTTCTTGATGGCCCAGTGATCCCTGCCTCCTGGTCTTCGTGCCCTGGTGTAATCCACTTCCCTTGAGTGTGAGCTGGACTTATCCATTCCCTTGACTACAGCAGAAATGATGGAATGTTACTTCAGATAGTAGGTTACAAAAAGGTTGTGGCTTCTGTCTTGCTCTTTCTCTCTCTGAATCCCCATTTCTCTCTCTGAGGAAAACCAGCTACCTACCATGTTGAGAGTTGTCCTATGGAAAGATCCATGTGGCAAGGAACCAATGTCTCTGGCCAATAGCAGTGAGGACCTGGGTCCTGTTAATAGCCACATAGTGAGTTTAAAAACAGATCCTCACCCAGTGAAGCCTTAAGATGACTGTCACCCCACTAACAATTACAGCTTTGTGAGAGACCCTGAGTCAGAGATATCCTGTTAAGCTGCACCTGGACTTCTGACCCACAGTAACACTGAGATAATGAATATCAACTGTTTTAAGCTGGTAAATGTTGGAGTAATTTTTACATAGTAAAATAAAACTAATACAATTCATTTAAAATGAACAATAATAACATTTTCTATGAAAAATAACTATTTTCTAAAATTTAAAAAAAATGTAGTAAGCTGAGGGGTACTGTTTTCATTTTTGCAAATCTCTTCAGTGTCTAGTACCATAGGAGACATTTGGTTCCTCATATCTGCTTCTGAATTTAAGCTGTTGCAGTACATTGTTTTGGGTGAAATATATGAAGAAAACCATGCTTTGCACTGATAAATAATTGTAAAAGAAAAGAGTATTGTAACAGTTTTTCCAGATAGCAGTGGGCATTACTACAGCAGTACTTAACAGATGATGCCTTAGCACAGTGTTTCATGCCTGTAATCCCAGCAGTTTGGGAAATCAAGGCAAGAGGATTGCTTGAGGCCAGGAGTTTGAGACCAGCCCAAGCAACATAGCAAGACTCTGTCTCTACAACAAATTTAAAAAATTAACCTGTTGTGCAGGTGGCTGAGATGGGAGCAGCACTGAATCTCGGAGTCCAAAGTTGCAGTGAACTAAGAGCTAGGATTGCACCACTCCACTGCAAGCCGGCGGACAGAGAAAGACCCTGTCTCCAAACAAAACAAACAAAACAAAATGGTAGTTCCTTAAAGACTAGTTGCAACCTAGATACCATATCAATGAACTTTTTATGCTCTGTTACGTTAAAATGTA